ACTAGGGGCCTCGCTTTTGCTCCCACTAGGGGGCACACTTCAGCACTTTCTAGACACCGGGGGAGGGGCAGCACCTCGTGCTCAGCTTCCCACCCCTCTCCTCCACACTCCCACCCCACCTCCCCCATACTTAGCTACTGCAAAAAGTGAACATCACAGATGGTCTGAACGGGAGTCAGCTGCCCATCTTGGACGGCCAGGAATTCAGCGCAGTGTGAAAATCCCATTCTGACGTGTGTTCTGTATAGAATGACAAAGCTCCTCCGGGAACACCAGGGACGTGGGGTGCCTCAGTGAGCGTCAGCTCCCGTCTCCATAATTTGTCTTACACTTTCAAGCGGGAGTGTCCACCCACGAGCCGTCCGTGGCCGTCTGCGTGTGCCGGCAGGTGCGTGAGGAGCCCCCGTGGGAGGTGGAGTGCACGTTCTCAGCCATTTCAGAGGTTGATGTGCTCACTCTCCTGTGTCCTGGCCGTTCCACCCCCACTCCTTCCACTGGAGACACACTCAGACATGTGTCTCTGTTCTTGTCGGAATGGGACAGCAGTGTCCTTCAAAGGCTCGCCAGGTGAATTGGGGGTCTGTCAGACTGCGGAATGCGAAGCTGCAACTAAACGAGTTGCAGATAAATGCTTACAGTATGTTTCACATAATAGACACAAACAATACCAAGTTCTCTTTCTATGTAGTTATGTCTAGCTACTTCAAGAGGGGAGGACTCTGCTTGGTGGTCCCATAGGTTTACAGGACTGTACTTACATATCTGGGCGGCTGAAATTTGTTTTCAGTAGGCTGCATGCCCAACATGGGACTTGAACTCATGACCCTGAGATGAAGAGTCTCATGCTCTACCAACTGAGCTGGCCAGGTGTCCCCTGGGTAGCTGAAAATAAGATACACAGACACGGGGCACCTGGGTGGCTCAGTCAGTTAACCATCCAACTTTAGCTCGGGTCATGATCTCATGGTTCGTGGGTTTGAGCCCCACATTGGGCTCTCTGCTGTCAGAGCGGAGCCTGCTTCACATCCTCTGTCTCCTTCTCTCACTGCCCCTTTCCTGCTCTCGTGCCCGTGCACACGCTCGCTCTCTCCCTCCCTCTCTCTCTCTCTCTCTCTTTCTTTCAGAAATAAGCAGACATTTCTGTGAAAAACGTCAAGGGAATTGGGAAAGACTTCTTAAGATTTCCCTGGGACTTTTGGGGCACCTGGGTGCCTCAGTTGGTTAAGCGTCTGACTTCAGCTCGGGTCACGATCTTACAGTTCATGGTTCTGTGCTGACAGCCGGGAGCCTGGAGCCTGCTTCGGACTCTGTGTCTCCCTCTCTCTCTCTCTGCCCTTGCCCCATTCGCAGCTCTATCTCTCAAAAATAAATAAACGTTAAAAAAAATTGACAAAAAAATTTCTCTGGGACTTTTAGGTAGGCCCTGTTTGATATTTTACTTACTTTAGTATTGCTTAGATTTTTCATTACTCTTCAGGTCAATTTTTTTCAACTTTGTCCCTCTTTTTTTCAACTTTGTCCCACTTTTCCTCAAAAGTGTTTTCGTGTTAGTACCTTCTCTCCTGTTTCGCTAGGAGCCTGGGCAGGTAATGCACAAAATCCGGGCCCCGCCCCTCCTTACCAGCCGGGCATGGGGCTGTGAGGGTCACCGCTGCTGACCCCCCATGTGGTTCCCAGCTGGTCTGTGCTGTCCGTGCCTCTTTTTGGGCCCACACACAGGATTCTGTGCAGCCGCTGTGGGGTCACGTCTTCTCCCAGGTCCATGACCATAACCTGGCCTTGACCTTTCTGTCCTCTTCCCAACCCTTAGGAGCTGCTACTTAATATCCAGAAAAAGGAAGGGGAAAAAAGGGTGAAGCGGTGCTAAAACATACACCTGAATTGCCCGGGCAGTTGCAGTTGCCATTTTGGTCCAGTCCGTCCTTTGTGGTGGGGACTGTCGTGTGCGTTTGTTGATCGGCGGCCCTGCCCTCCTCCCACCTGATGCCAGTGGCAGCCCCCCTTGTGACAACCAGACCCGTCCTCACATCCTGTTGATTGTCCTGCAAGGGGCAGAACAGCCCCCAGTTGAGAACCACCGCTCTCCACAGACTGGCAATGGAGCAGTTGTTCTGAATGACCCACTTGAATTCTTTTTATTTTCAATATTTCCATCGTGCCTACCAGTGACAGGTGACTGTGGTCCCTTCAGAGCAAAACAGCTTTTTTGCCTCTCGGTGGTATCCCCAGAGTCCAGACCCTCCCCCTAATACTTGTGCGTTCCTCGGCAAGAAAACCCGAGGCCCCTCGGCAGCTGCCCTGGTTAAAACACCTTGGCCGTGGCTGCACCCAGAGGCCTGGCCAGGGAAGATGGCGGCAGGCACAGTTGCAGGAAGGGGCATTTTCTCAGCCAGTGGCATTTGTAAACATCTGAGGGGTTTTTTTACACTTGTTTTTTCTAGTTGGCAGCTCTAGAAACCTATAAAACCAGACACCTGGGTGGCTCAGTCGGTGAAGCGCCTGACCCTTGATCTCAGCTCAGATCTTGATCTCAGGGTTGTAAGTTCAAGCCCCTCGTCGGGCTGTGCCCTGGGCATGGAGCCTAGTTATAAAAATATATAAGTAAGTAAATATTAACAAGAAAGAAGAAACCTGTAAAACCTAAGGAAAGAAAGTTTTCTGTAGAGGTCTAGTGTAACAGCAGCTATCCGTGTTCACAGACTACTCAGTCTCCCTTCTGGAAAACCTCGGGCCCCTGCATCCACAGAGCACCGTCAGAGCCTGCGCTGCCCTCCTGGGGCCCCAGCGGGCCGTCCAGCCAGTCCTCGCTTCTCCATCCATGAGCCCCTGCCCCGTACCCCCACCCCCCGTCGTGTGTCTCCTACTCTGACGCCCTCAGCTCTGGAGCTGGACTGTCTGGGTTTGAGTCCCAATACGTCCGGGGCCAGGTCTTGCTGTCTGTGCCACGGAGTACTCAGCTGCAGATGGGAGTTGTGACAGGGGCCCCGTGTGCAACAACGCGTGCGCACTGTCAGCTGGGGCCTGGCTGGCCGTCGTAGTGCCTGGCACACTCCCTGGCTGGGAGTGCCCACGTGGAAAAGAGAGATGCACAGTGTACCGTGGACAGAACGGCCCTGCCGTGTGGCCTCCAGGCTCCTTCGGTGCAGTGTGGAGTTCCCCTCCCCCTTGCGTCGCAGGATGTGGGAAACAGGTCGCTTGTTTCCCGGCTGCCTGTCCTGTGCAGGATTAATGTGCCGTGATGGCCATCGTGAGCTGCAGTGGACCATTGGACCGCTCTCGCGCCCTCGCCAAGCAAGCTTAGGGTCACCTCACGGTGTTCGCCCTCGCATATGGATTGTATGTGTTTTCCTCGGCAGCACTGAGTCTCAGACTGGTGCCCCCGAGTATGTCCTTCTAACACAGTCTGAAGAAACACAGCCGCTGTTAGCCCAAAATTTCTTTAAATCCCTTCCTGTTTTGTTAAAAAAAAAAAAAAAAAAA